ACCGACATCGTTTATTTACAAAAACAAAACTATACACATCATGTAGAGGCACAATACAACAAGTCAATAGATTCGCTGACAAAACACCAGAAATGAGGATCTCAATATCTCTCTCATACACACACGTACACTTCTTTGTACACACACTCACACTCACACACACACACACACTCACACTCACACACACACACCCACACAATCATAAATATAACCCACTTTCCATTTCGAAGAGGCCCAAAACTTTTTTCCTAAACTCTCAAATTCTAACTGAAAAGATGTATTGAGCCACCAAGCATGGCTACTTTATCTATTAAATCTGCAGGCAGAAACAGCGTGGCTTTTGGACATCCGGATATCTGTAACCCAACATCGACTTCCAAGAAGAAAAATAAAAACAAAACCAATGCATTCGTATAAAAAACGAAAATCAATAATAATCTTTTCCATTTTTCTTCTACAGTCCACTACGGAAGATTTGATGTTGTAGTGGGAGTAGGAATAAAATCCGTTCAACTCATCCGAAGTTGTAATTTAACCGTTGGGATCTGTAAAGAAGAAGAGCAGAAGCTGGGATCCGAGAAAAAGATCAACTAACTCGAAGATCAACCGACCCAAAGATCCCCCCCCCCCCCCCCCAGCGGAGTCGACAGTGCACAGGTAGAATCAAAGAATCACATAGCCTCAAACCAGATGTCTATACCTGTTATTTAAATAAAAACTTAATAATAAAATAATTGGTACAATTAAAACAAGAATTTTTAAATATAACTGACCGACCATCTATAGCTCTCTGCATTGTCGTTTGTTTCTTTACGATGTTTCTAGCCACTGAAATTGGCCAGGTTTTGATGCCCATAGCTCATTACTGGGACAAGCCGCGGGACGACAACTTCCTGTATCTACCACTGCAGAAGACGCAAATTGGACCACACTCCCCGGCAAGCAACGAAAATGAACGAGAAATTTTCAAAGTCAACAGACAAATGACATTTGAATTTCAACTTCTTAAAATCTAAAAACAAACCCCCAATTTTCCCAATCCTTCAAATTAACAAAATTCTTAGCAAAATTAAAGTACCATATTTTTTCACTAGTTATTATTTTATTTAAAACTATTCATTACATATTCATTAAAAAAATAAAAATAAAAGAGAAAGTTTCTGTTCTCTGGCCCGAAGAAGCATTCTTCAAGAAATATATTATATATGTTCCAATTCTTTCTTCTCATTACCTCTTCTATTTTAAAAAAAAAAGGAAAGAGAAGACAAAAGTATTCTCCTGAACACAAAGTGATCGAAAATATTCAACCGTCATTCAAAACATTGAATATATATTATATATATATATACATACATTCATAGGAATATCAACAACAACAACAACAGCAAAACATCTCCTTTTTCACAAGTATTCCAGTGAAAAACATGAATAAATACTATAATACTAGTTCTGCTCAAGTCGAATCCAAAAGGGTGACGTAGCGATATCATCTCTTGAAACCCAAACAAAAACGAGCCGAGTGTAACATCATGTGCTGGCAAAGTTCCCAGATTTTCCTCCACTAATTGTGCCAAATTTGCGTTCCGAGTGGACCCACCCGTATTTCACGTTCACTGACAGACGCACAGCCTAGCACGCACAGAGACACATCGGCGCCACTCTGTCAGTTTTTGTTGTTATTTTGATGAATCGGTCGCTTTAAAGCACAAGCGGGCTATCCCAAATAATGCTGCTTTGAGAAAATCGAAGGTAAGTTTTTGCCCCTTGTTGATTTCTTAAAAAGACGAGAGTTTTCTCAACAACCAAACAAATATAAACACCAAAGGAAAAACACTTCTCTTATAGGTAGGGCAAGGCCCACTTTTGGTGTAGGTCAAGATTTCTGGAAACCCCCGAAATCTGGGTTAGCCCGTTTGTCCTTAAAAGCGACCTATGTGACTATGTCCATGTTTCAAATATAAAGAAAATGATAAATAATATACATACAAGAAAAACTCTGGGACCAGGCAATCAGTTTGCCCTGTGCGTGCTAGATGGTAAAAAGAAACAAGTCCACCTCTGTATTAACACGTGACAGAGCATTTTTCAAGTACCCTTCAGAATTATAACACCTGTACAAAATATTTATCACCAAATATACACAGAGAATTCAACAGTGACAGAAGAAATGAAGGTATGGCAATGAAAATACAACACAAAATTTGAGTCTACATTTCGCAGGCATAACACAGTTTCAACATTGAACACTTCACAGCAAAACAATTCCACAAAACAACGTTAATGACACCAGACAGCATGGCAGATGACAGTTTTCCCCTCCCACTAAGTAGAATAGACTCCCTTTTCCTCCGACGAAGTAACCCACCACAAGTTTTTGTCGTCACTTCGTTCTACGTCACCGACAACGCGGATCACTCACTCAGCCCCCGCCCCAGATAAAACTGTGCTTGACCCCGACAGTATCGAGATGGAAATGTCCACCGCTTAATCTCGTAAACACACATCCAATGAGAACAGACTATACTTTACACGTGACCCTTGGCCATTTCTTTATAAGAAACAGACTATTACTACAGTATTGCAAGGGCAAAAGTCACCTGCTTGACCTACAATTCAAAAGAACTCAGCACGCGGTAGAAAAACGTGAAATGTGAACAAGTCTTAATCTTTCTTCCGAGCTACTTTTTAGTGCGTCTTGCTGACCTTTTTCAAATAGCAATATCTCACAGACTAGCAAAATTTTTTCTGAGTCTGTGAACAATAATAGACCATGTAATAACTTCACAAATTGTCTGCGAAATATTACAGTGATTAGAGTTGATTATGTCTTTTTTTCCAATTTACGAAAAACGCCTAAAACCTGAAGGCTCAGTCAATAACCAGACCTTGACCTTGACCCAGGGCTGAGTGAGATAAACCCGTGTCCCCCTTGTCCCCCGAATCTCCTAAAACAAGTTTTAAAAAACAAAAGAAAACAGCAGTATCTGTATGAGCACAGTTCAAACTCAACATAAAAAGGAAAAAACAAATCAGAGAGAAAAAGAAAACGGCAGACAACAGATTTTCTACTACATAAGACATTGAGTATGTTCATGAAAAAAACATTTTTCCATCTTGTGCTGTGCATTGTTTATTTTACATAATCACCGTCTGAGGGAGAAAAATTTCCAGCCAAAACATTACAGACGACTTTTTGATCCTTTCCCTTTCATTCATAACAAAACAAACTGCTTCGACAAAAGGCATATAATACACACGGGGCTGATATCTAACACAACTAGTGCGTCCTACAAAAACATGCCGATCAATTCCGCGTACTAGATGGCATTTCCAGCTGGGTCACCACTTTTCCAATTTCCATTACTTTAACCTTATCCGTACACCCTGGGGTCATTTTGTACCCCCGGGGTTGTATTCTTCACATTTTAGAATACTCCTAGTACGATGATTTCTTTGAAACTTTCAGTATTTCTCAAAAGATCATTTTGACAGACTGCTATGCAAAGGGTACGGATCGGACTAACGAGTAAATTTCCTCTTTGGAAAGTGGTGGCACAGAGTTCCCCACGTCGTATGGATACGATAGTAAAACACGACGTACGGATAGGGTTAAGTGGTGGCACAGAGTTCCCCACGTCGTATGGATACCATAGTAAAACATGACGTATGGATAGGGTTGAGGACTATAACTAACGTTATGTTATTATCACCCCAACACATTACTGACAAGATGAAGGCTCTGAGGGGAAAAGTAAACATTTCCTCACGTTACACTTTTCTTCACTTTCTGTCTTTCCATCCCCCTCAGATTGTTACATTTAACACAAATCAAATTCTAAACTTCCTCCAAGAAACCATCTAGGACCTATCAACATGACTGACAGGCAACACAGAAACTGTTGTAAAATATTACACAACAATGCAGACCCCACCACTACCACCTTCCTCTTAAAAAACAACATTTAGACCTATTCCGAACCTCTTAAGACTTGCAGTTTCTCAGTCCCTAAGACAACAACGTACCATATATATATATATATATATTATATATATATATACATATATATATATATATATAAAATATATACAAAATATATATATGTAATACTCTCATCCCAAAAGCAGTCTTTCCTCCTGAAGCAGACTAATAGTTTGAGATTCCACTGTACATGAACTGGCCTATTTACAAGATAATGCTACGCCTTCAATAAGAAACGACGGAGGACGAAATAGTAGAAAGAGTAGAGAAAACATAAATACCACAGTCCTTGCCACAGATAACAATAACAGTTCCAATATTATGTATCACTATGCCTTCTTGCACATTTTGGTCAACATTTTCGCGAGTACCAGTGACGTCGGCTGATAAACCCCCCAGCTGTGGTAGATGGCAGTCAGCACATCTAACCTCGCAGACACACTCTCCACTACCGTGTGTACCAGCTACATTCGGCTGATAAACTCTCCTCCCCCCCCCCCCCTGTACATCTAACCTCGCAGACACACTCTCCACTACCATGTGTACCAGCCACATTCGGCTGATAAACTCTCTCCCCCCCCACTTTACATCTAACCTCGGCGACACACTTTCCACTACCGTGTGTACCAGTACCTCACGACCTTCAAAATCGACACATTCCGCAGCTACAGCAAGCACGGACATACAAATTTGGGCCACGCTGGAGGATAACCACAAGACAACAACATCAGACTTTGAGCTCCCAGGATCATCTGTGTCATCTATACCGACTAAAGATATAATATGTCAGGTAATATGAAAGAGATATATCTTTGTCATCCATACCGGCTAAAGATCTATGTCAGGTATTATGAAAGAGATATATCTTTGTCATCTATATCGGCTAAAGATATAGATCTATGGCAGGTAATATATAAAAGAGAAACCACACTGCAATAACACAGACATTATGCCTGTCAATAGCGGACATAAAAACAGAGAAACAATGCTGCACTCACTTGGGAGTAAAACTGTTCTTCACTTTTTTTTTTTTTCTCAATGTATGTATGTATGCATCATTCAATGATTATTATGACTCATCAGTAGTAATTCCTGAAGTGATCTTGCCATTTGGTACAATGAGAGGGGTGAGTCGCAGGAAACTGATGATGCTGACGAAAAACTCACACATGCACGTTCAGACCCGTAAATTCCACATGATCGATAGCTGTATTCAACACAGACAATTTATGTACACAATGTTTACTCATTTTTTAAAAATACCACTAAACATTTAAGAACATTTCAAGATTGACAAACGTCTGTGACAACAAGAAATAAGATGCAAAGGCGTCGGATAGAAACTTGTCGTCAACTTGAGAGTTGGCACGGAATGCACATGGAATAAAAATACAAAAGCTCAATCCAGATATGCAAATCACATCTTCTTTAACAGAGATCGGGGCGGGGGGCGGGCCGGGGGGGGGGGGGGGGGGGGGGGTGTTATAGCTGACAGAATTGTGTGGTTCTCACTAATATTGAGCAATAAGCTAATATATCAGCTTTGAGTGTTCAGCCAATGTGCTTTTCCATTTTTCAACAAGGCTCCCACACATTATGCCTACTGTTGAAAGTAAACAAAAAAACAAAAACATTCACCACATTTTTGGGGGGTCTCAGCAGACGTGGCTTCCAATTTTCCAACACATTGGCTGGAACCCACTCCAACGATACTTGAAGGAGATGAGGAATCCATCTTGGCTGCACTTCTCCAGGTCACTCGTCCGACGGGATGACCAACAGGAGCACACCTATCTGCAGGATACAGTCTACGGGCAGTTTAAGACACTTGTGATGAATCTGTCTTGTCCCTCGCACGACACACATGACTAATCTGTCTTGTCCCTATGACACACGTGACTAATCTGTCTTGTCCCTATGACACACGTGACTAATCTGTCTTGTCCCTACGACACACGTGACTAATCTGTCTTGTCCCTACGACACACGTGACTAATCTGTCTTGTCCTTCACACAACGCACGCGATGAATCTTGTCTTATCCCTCGCATGAAAGTGAAACTAACAGTTATAAATAATTCTGAAATTATTCTTGTTAGCGTGAGATTTCAAAAGATCCTGAGATAAAAGCTGTGGAAATTTCAACATTTGTAGTAAGCAGCCATCACTACAAAATGTCCACCGCGGCAGAGGCGCTGTCAGCAGAAAGCAAGCTCCGCCCTCGTGCACACAAACACACGTGGCTTCCCGCTCTCGCACACACGCATGCACACATGGGGCTTCCTGCAGTCATAATCACAAGGATTTCCGCAGCCACCAGTAAAACGACGCCGTTCCCGCAGCCACAAACACAAGGCTTCCAGTGGCCACCAGTAAAACGACACCGTTCTCGCAGTCACAAACATAAGTCTTCCAGCGATCACCAGTACAGCCATTATGGCGGTGGGCATGGTCAGTCACCGCCCACCTTGGTGCTGGGGGTGTTGTTGTTCTTCTTGAGCACAAAGTTGAGCCACTGGTGGTTCAGGGGCCGGCTGGGTCTGCAGAGGAAACAATAACAATAATAATAATAATAATCAG